ATGGTTTCGCATAACAGACTGTTCTAGATGTTTAAATGGAACGATTTACTCTAAGAAAGCTATTCACAGAGTTACCTATGAATGGATTGTGCGAGCGAGTCAAAATTATGCAACACCATAATACGGTCGGCACGCTTGTTACGCTCACAAGTGTTCATATTAACGTAATTGTTGTTATTGTGCTTTACCGCTATGTAAATTGTATGGGATAATTTTAATATGATTGTCGAAATTGTTTCTCAATGCTTTTGTGCGCACACTTTTATTTTTTGAAGTGAAAACTTCTTCAGCGGCGTTGTACACGTGGCAGCTTTATTGCGAAGAAAGCGCATTTTTTTACAATAGATGTCGCTTAAATGTGATTTGTGTAAGTTGATTTCTTTACCAATAGATGTCGTTAAGTGCATTTCATGTAAGTTGATTTTTCTGAGAGATAAACTTTTTTAATGTAATATAAATTGTCATGTTTGTGTACGATAGCGCATTAAATAAATATTGAATTCTACCAAATACATGATAGTACTTTTATACTGATAATTAAAGCAATTCGTGCAAAATTATTCCCTAACCATTCCAAAATATCAAAAATGCACAACGTTAATATTCAAGTTTTCACTTCTGCCGGCACTCCCCGAGTGCAACCCGTCGTTTTTTTTATGTTAAAAGGGTGGCAAATAAGTAAGCGGCCACCATAGTCTATAGACGCTTGTGATACAAAAAATATACTCGCGCCGTAGCTTAATTTGACCAAACATTCTACCCCATGGAGCCCTTAATACAACACTATTAAACAGGTAGTATTGTGCCTAAGATTTGTTCGCATTAACATTATAGAACGTTATCGGAAAATTATAAAATACTATAGTCATTAGACGCTTTTGATACAAAAAATATCACTCGCGCCGTAGCTTACTTTGACCAAATATTCTACCCCGTGGAGCTCTTAATAAAACACTATTAAACAGGTGGTATTGTGCCTAAGATTTGTTCGCATTAACATTATAGAACATGATCGGAAAATTATAAAATACCATAGTTATTAGATGCTTTTGATACAAAAAATATCACTCGCGCCGTAGCTTACTTTGACCAAACATTCTACCCCGTGGAGCCCTTAATAAAACACTATTAAACAGGTGGTATTGTGCCTAAGATTTGTTCGCATTAACATTATAGAACGTTATCGGAAAATTATAAAATATTACCGATAAGATTAATATATTATTTAATTATTTGTCAGGGACGTATGCTCGGGGAAGTTCTCTACTTGCTTACAAATCAAAGTTGATTAAACATTTATTTTTGTAGGAGTAACTTATAAATATATAATAGCGAAGTTGCACCCGGAATGCCCGTGATTATGTATACCTAAGATCTTGTTCGGTTCTTACCTATGCACCTAATATTTCTATTTAATTAAATCTTCACATTATAATACCTCATTTTATGTGCATGGATTGGTATTTATGTCGAATGCAGGAATCTGACATGGGTATTATTTTATTATGAATAATAGTCAATTTTGAAAGTAACAACATTTTTTTACCTGTTTTTTATTACCTACAATAAGCACCAGCGATGTCACGTTACCTACTCAGAAAAAAAGTAAGAAAATAACACTTTCTTCTCAAAAACATTAAAAGTAATGAGAAAATATCTGAATGCGTAAACAGATGCCACGTACGTTTTTGTACGTGTTTGTTTTTGGGGTCACAGCCGACAAAAAGCAGTTTAAAATCGGAGAAGCGACCGACATCCGTATTATGCAATGCAAAGACGGACTCGGAAATGCGTTTAGCGCGCTTGAACTGTGTCGCTCGGTTCACAAAATAAGCAATTTCTTATTATTCACTATAGAGCATAAATTTATATATTTTTAAAAGTTGGCTGAATTTTAACCTTTTTTTGACGACTTTATAATACACTGATTAGATTATTGCGTAACAAAAAATATAAAGTATATTAATACTATATAATTTTTGTTACGCAAAACTAGGTATTGTAATTATTTAATATTACAGTAACCCTTTCCCTACATTTATCGATTTCTTTGTAAACAAATAATTCTACAATATTCACATGAGCGTATTTCATATAATTATTAGATTACTGTTTCATAATTAATCAACTTAATTCGATTGTTATCCGTATTTTTAATGTTATAATTATATATGATTATCAAAAATTCAGCCTGGAATGATATTAGTGTTGTATTTTTTATTATAATTTTAGACTTCAGTTATGATTTTTTTTTCTGAAAACTTATTTAAAAACATTTCACTTTAAAGTAAAAGTAAAAGTGTATGTACAAAGCAAGAGAAAAAGAAAGAAAATGTGCGCGCGCACTGCTTTCTCTTGCTTATATCCCCTACTCAACTCCCGTTCGCCTCACCCGAACACACTTTTCGTAACACGTAACGCATTCGCCAGCTAACCCCCCAAGTCAAGCGTACGTAAAGAAGTTTCACTTCAAAAGACTTGAAATTATAATATGTTATCATAACGTCACGATAAGATACATTTAATCATAGAAGGAACTACACATATTGTGAAACGCGTAGTACGATATGGATGAGGAAAGTAGTAACAACAAGTTTACAAACTTGCTTGTTATGTAATTATATGAGCTGTTGTTTGTTGCCAGATCACTGCAGCTGCATTGCTGCACTAGGTTACGTGGTTACTGGAAACTATTTGCATTGTGTATTTATAGGTATACAGGAACTTATTTATAGAAAAAATAATTAAGTATGTAATTTTTTCTAAGAGAATCATTTTACATTCCCCCTGCTCATTTTGCTTTGCGCTGTTTCCCTGCGTACGTCCTAATGTAATCATATTTATTATGGCATATCGCAAAAATAGGATCATCTTTTAATTAGCTTATTTTGGTTAAAATTTTAATTTTAGTTGCCTTATTTATATAGTAGGTAAGTAAACTCTTCAGTAATAAGAATAAAAAAACATAAAATGAAAAATAATACGATTGTTGGTGAATTCTGATTTAGGTACGCTGCAGAAAACAATTTAGTTTACTTATTTTGCTTGTTAGTTTACTTTTTAAATGATATTATTAAGTAAATACGAAGAAATTTTAATAATTATTCATTAGCATTCTTGGAAGAGTAAAAAATCTCTTTTGTGAACATCATTAACTTTACATTCAACTTGCACCATTAAATTGTTATTGAATTTTGCATATTATATTAATCTATACTATTATATAAAGAGAGAAAAGGATACAAAGACAAATCCTTTCTGTCAGTCAGTGTGATCTGTCAAATAGTCTGTCTGTCTGTTGTGATTCGTCAAAGAGTTAAAAAGTCTGTCTGTATGTCGTGGCGTGACAAAGAGGCTTCCAAAAGGCAATGGAAAACAATCACATAAGAAACCCAGTCCGGCTACTTTCAAAATCTGTATTAATTTATTCATGTTCTTTTGTCGGATGCTGATTCATTATGTTTCCATAGTATTTAAAACACCCGTGTGAAGCCAGGCCGCTAGTAAAAAATGAAAGGGATATTGTTACTACAACTTAAAAAAGAAGCAAGTTAGTCTAAGAGCCACTTGCATCAAAATTCTTGATTCAAATTAAGGCCGCGCTGTTTGATTCATAGTTAAATGTGCCTATTAGTCAATGTCACGTCAAATACATAAAACAACGGGCCCTTATGCTTCATCCTGTTTAACATTTCATTCCATATTTGTTAATTATTTCAAGTAAAAAAAAGACATGATAAGGCTTTACGATAATATTTTTTTTAAATTTGAAGTAAATTAAAATATAAACACTTTGGTAAATGCAAGCCTTAAAGTTATTTTTAAATTTAATTCAAACAAAGTCTTCATTAATCTGCGGTGTTGTTTGTAATCCAACAATCTAGCATAAGTTGTTTTTCAAGTAGGTGCATTGTTACAAATTCAAATAAAGAAATTTTACAATATAAAAATTCAATAACCATAAACAGCAATAGCTATAAGATATAAATACAGAAAGTATAGAAACTACCTCTACTGACAAAAACAAAATAGCTCGATTTCTTCTTCGTTGGGGCCTTAGATACGGAGATGGTACAAAGGATTGAGTTTTATGTTATTCATAGCATGTCACTCATGACTAGAATAACGTCTTTTCGTACTATTTCAAGTCGAGTTATTCAAGTCACGTAGATTTCTTTGGTAAGCCCTTTACATCTGTTAATGGCCTAACACGCAACTCATGTTGCTGCCATTGCCATTAAACTGACTAGTACAGTTGGTCTCTAATTCAATTTAATTAGTTTTTAAATTATAATGATGTATTGTATCATCGTCGTCAAATTTTGTATGGAAGGTGCCAGTTCGTTCACGGTTCTTAATTTTCGTAGAAACTTTGAAGATGCAATACGATTATGGAGCTGTCAAATTGGTATTTGGGCCTCTGACTCTAAGTTAATACGTGAGGTATGTAAATTCCTTGAACGCGATTGATGTCAAATTTAATTTCATTTGCAAGGATTAAGCCCGCAAGGCTCCTGCAATTGTACGATTAAACATTGCAAATTAAAAAGATATGAGTTGCACCACCGTGTATCCGTTGCTTTTTCATTGTTATTTTAAACTAGCTGTGCCCCGCGGTGTTACCCGCGGTTTATTAGGGATATTTTTCCGCAGCATAACGTAGCCTATGTCTTAATCCAGGGTGTTAGCTAACTCCATACCAAATTTTATTAAAATCGTTCCAGCCGTTTAGACGTGAAGAAGTAACAAACATACATACTCACAAACTTTCGCCTTTATAATATTAGTGGGATTATCACTTTGATAAAAGAATGTGTCATGTAAATTGATTGTTCAATCTGAACATAAAGAACAGAGAAATTATAAGGATATTCTTATTGTGTACATAGTTTAATTGGCGGCAAACTCTATCTTGACGATCTGTAAACCAACCTATGGTACTGACAAATTTTCCAAGTGATTAATTTTAATGACCTACATTAATAAAAAAAAACACTTACCGGATATCAATAATGAAGTAATTCCAAATATTATAAGCCACTGTGTACCAGTTATCATATTTAACCTGTTTGTAATTAACAAGATCCAGAGACCGGTATTATTACAACATCACAATAATGCAGGCCGAATAATTTTAAACATAAGAAAAAAGTTTATAACCTTTATAATTTAGATCACAGATAAATTACACACGGTACTTAAATGTTTATTTGATGCAAAGTAGGGTGTTGTTTTTAAATGTATACAAATCATATGTTTCTTTTTTATTTTTAATCAAAGATGCGTGTGAAGTTCGTGTTTACCGCGACAGAACTGACGATAGCGAAAGTTGACTGCGTAAAGTTGACCCTCGCACGCTGCATCGCTTCCCTCAAGCAAGACTCCAGCAAAATAGTTTTATTCCATGACAAATCTTAAACTTTTTTTGCTATGCTACTAATATTATAAACGTGACATAGGATACTTTTTATTTCCGATTTTTTTTTTGGATCTTGTGGGATTCTCATAAAACTGAAGTTGACACGGACCAAACATATGCATACTAATACTTATATTTTTCAAAATATTTATTGAATATTTGTTAAATAGAATATTAGTAAGTTCGCTTTTAAAGTAAATATTACTGAGATCCGAAAATAACGGATTTTTTAAAGTAAAACTTTTTAAAATTAATAAAACTAGTGTCAGCAACTTTTCAGAGATAGACTTTTTGAAATTGGTTATGAGTTATTTCTTGTTCAAACTTTAAGACAAAACTGCACGCTTTCATAATATTATTGAAATGTAGAAAATATATATCCATAAAGTAAATTTAAAAATAACACAAAAAATTATAAGCAAAATTGGACCTATTTTTATTACTGACTGACCAAGTCAGTAAATCAAGCTTAATCAATTTCACGTTACATTGACATGTTCAAGTAAGTTTCAGCTTCAAAGCCCAAAGTGATTTGAATGAAGGAGGAAGGGTAGTGGTTGGTTATTCCTATGAGAATACCAGAGCCATATCCACGGCGGCATTATATAATTAATACATTATACTTTATATTATACTCAGGCAATGACAGGAATACTCGTTCATACTTTTCTTATACATATTTTTATAATTTTTTGGAGAAAACTTCTTTAGGCGCGTTTGGTATTTTTTTAGATGGGAAAAAACCATTCAACTCACGACACCTCTGTACCAATCTATAGCCATTATCCTATTTTTCTTTAAAAATAGACCTTGAGAAACACCAGCAATCTCTTCAACTTTTTTATTGGAAAATTTGATACGCCGCATGCGAACCCAAGTAGGTACTAAACCCGGGAGCGAGTTAGGAGAGAACATGCGAAGAGATTCTGATTTCTTAGAGCTTTATGATCTATATTATAGCAGATATGCTTATTTATAGTCTTCACGGGCTGGGCTCAGAGTAGGCGAAGGTGCCGTGCAGGTAATATTTTTGATGTCGCAAGTATCTATAGGCTCTGGTGTCCACTTACCACTAGGCGAACCATATGCTTCTTTGCCATCCTTTTATCATAAAACAAATAGTATGAGAATTAATAATTTCCAAATAAATAGAGAGTTATAACTTTGTCGGCGACCTCCGTGGCCGAGTGGTTTGTACGCCGGCTGTCCGACTCGAGAGGTCCCGGGTTCGAATCCCGGTGGGGGCAGATGTTTGTGTGATGAATACGAGCATTTGTACTCCAGTCATGGATGTTTAATATGTATTTATATGAATATACTTATATATGTACAGTATATGTATTCTGTCCGTTACCCTAGCATCCCATAACACAAGCCTTATAGTGCTTACTTTGGGGCTAGGCTAATTGGTGTGTGTCTGAAATATTTATTTATTTATTTATTTATTATTGAAGTTATACTTCTTTAGGCGCGTTATGAAAAAATGATGAGAGTGAAATTTTAAGATGCGCGCGCATCACTGTAACACAAAAAATTAACGCTTTAGCGACCAACTTCATGCTGTTAAGTAGTAGTAGTATATGCAGTTACTTTTGTTTTTACCGCACATTAAGAAAATCTACCAACAAAATAGAAATAGAATCTCTATTTAGTGGGTGCTAACGACTGCATTGTGAAGGCCTATCAAAAGTATTTATTAATCTGGAACAACGGAACCAAAGCGCGATTCAGGAGACTACAGCGCCATCTCTTGACCATTGGTGTAGTAGAACCAAAAACCACATCTTTATTTTTTGTAATAAAGTAACAGTTAAAGGTATTCATATTTATAATATCAGAAGTATTTATTAATCTGGAACAACGGAACCAAAGCGCGATTCAGGAGACTACAGCGCCATCTCTTGACCATTCGTGTAGTAGAACCAAAAACCACATCTTTATTTTTTGTAATAAAGTAACAGTTATAGGTATTCATATTTATAATATTTATCCACATGTTTCTAGTTTGTATATTCGGAATACGTGTTTGAGTTTCATACAAGTGCAAATCACATATGTTCTAATAAATTATATTCAGTAGCGATTTTAATTGAATATTTTGATTATTTATTTATTTTTTGAAATTAAAACTGAACTTTATTGACTGTGTCCTTTTCCAGACTTTTTATTAATTTATTGTAATTAATTATTTGCATGCAATTAAAAACTAATTTTAAACGATGCCAAAGAAGGATAACTTCTCACGCGCCTACATAAGTACACGCACCCATTTTTTTTAGCATCATACAGTGTTGGATTATGAGTGACAGCTTGCTAAAAGGCGATCGTGTTTACATTTTTTTTACTAGTTTAATGGGAAGTGAAGATACCCGATTTTAAAACGTCAATGTTATATAACAATCAAAATATCGAAAGTAGTCTTTTTCCTTACAGTATATCCGTGTCAAGACAATTAAGATCATCTTTATGTAACCATGGCAATTCACGTTTAAGTTCATAATTCACCTTATGAAAGAAACAGGTATACATCACATTTTATATGAAAGTTATTGTAACAGGGAGAAACATTTAGGAGTAGCTTTACTAAATAAATAATAATACATATTTCCCGCACTCACACCAATTAGCCTAGCCCCAAAGTAAGCATTGTAAGGCTTGTGTAATGGGATGCTAAGCTAATTAACGGATAGAATATATATACTGATACATATATAACTGTATTTAATGTAGAAATATATATAAACATGCATGACTAAGGTACAAATGCTCGTACTTATCATACTAACATATGCCCCTACAAGGAATTGAACCTCTCTGAGTAGGCGACGCGACGCCATGAGACCCGGCGTATATACAATTCGGCCACGGAGGCCGACCAACTCTGCCACGAGGTTTACTCTGCCACGCGGTGCCAAACGTACCCCCGTACAGTAAACAAAACACGATATTTTAGTACAGTCAATCTGTAGGTTGAGTGGTGAAAAAAAAACCTAAAGGGTAAGGCTTGTTTTTTCTGTTGCCAAATGATGTCAGTAAGCCACCTTGGCGATGGGCATGTTCAATTCGTAGGCGTTTTTTGAAAAACTCAAAAAAACCGTCATAAATTTTTTGAAACGCATTTTTCTTGTTTTGTATGCATTTTAGAAACTTTTTTTTCGACCATAATTGTAGAGGGTGTTGAGTACTACAATTTATGTCAGTGTTGCAATCTCGTACAACAAAAAATGCGCATTGTAGGTGGCGCTAAAGTCTCAAAAAAAGTGTTTTTTCACTTTTTCACCCTGAAAATATCATTTTAATGGAAAACTTTAAATGGCTAAGTTGTATCGTACATAATTACCAACAACTTTTGTATAAACACTTTTTTGTATTACTTACCGTTTTCAAGTTATAAATTGCGCAGGTATGAAAAATCCAATAGAGCGGTTTTGGGCAGTTCAAGTACACATTTGCAGTGCACATTTCAATGTACGTTTTTACGAAACCTTATCAATAAGGCGGCGGGGTGTCCGATCAAATCGCTCGTTGAGCGCACGGTATCGGCCGGCCGGTACGGTGCGGTGGGTGCCGAGCCACGAATATTCGAATATATCAATATTTCATTAATGTGCACAGTTCACACACTGTTATTGAGAATTTATTTTAAAACAATAATTCTAAAGGAAACAATTTGCTTAAACGGGTTGTGCGAACCTATGTGCTATGAAACCAGCAGAGCTATTTAGTACAGTCAATCTGTAGGTTGAGTGGTGAAAAAAAGACCTACGTTTTACTATTTTTTATTTTTTTTTCATGATTGAAAAAAAAAATAGTAAAAACGATAGAACGAAATTCCAATGGAATGTGCACTGCAAATGTGTACTTGAACTGCCCAAAACCGCTCTATTGGATTTTTCATACCTGCGCAATTTATAACTTGAAAACGGTAAGTAATACAAAAAAATTGTTTATACAAAAGTTGTTGGTAATTATGTACGAAACAACTTTGCCATTTAAAGTTTTCCATTAAAATGATATTTTCAGGGTGAAAAAGTTAAAAAACACTTTTTTTGAGACTTTAGCGCCACCTACAATGCACATTTTTTGTTGTACGAGATTGCAACAATGACATAAATTGTAGTACTCAACGCCCTCTACAATTATGGTCGAAAAAAAAGTTTCTAAAATGCATAAAAAACAAGAAAAATGCGTTTCAAAAAGTTTTTCAAAAAACGCCTACGAGTTGAACATGCCCATCGCCAAGGTGGCTTACTGACGTCATTTGGCAACTGAAAAAACAAGACTTACCCTTTAGGTTTTTTTTTACTGAAACGATATTTTTTTCGACAGATTGACTGTACTATTTTATAGTTCGACGAAATATGGTGTGGACGTTGTTGACCAAATGGCTCGAAAATACAGCGTCAAAGCAGCATCCCGAAGATGGCCAGTACAAGTTTTTTATAATATACTAGACTTTGCTACTATAAATGCATGAATTTTGAATCAAGAGGTAACAAACAATAAAATGCGCAAAAGGGATTTTATACTCCAGCTAGCTCTAGAACTTAGTAGTCTCTCAGAAGAATCAACTTCAGCAAACTCGAATACAACAAACAACACCGATGCAGTCTTTACCCGAAGGTACAAGGAAAAGACAACACTGTTCTATATATGGTTGTAAACATAGATGAATGATTGGTCACGCTTCACTCGACTAGATACCGCGCTGTCAAAAAACAACAGCTCCTTAAATGCGGCAACTCATTATTGTAGTGTGTGTATGTCAATTTGCAATGATGCTATCAAATGTCATAAATCGAGTAGCCAGCTGCTCGACTGCTACCCAATTAATAGGGAAAATATTGTAGGTAATAATTAATATGTACCAGGTTAT